TATCGAGAAAAACGCGAGGAAAACAAGTCCCGAGAACATACGGTGCGAAGTGAAGCCAAAAAAATAAATTCTAAAGTTGAACATACCTCCGCGGCGGTGATGGTGTCGAAGTATCGGCGGAAGAAAATAAGAGACTCCCGTGGTCTCCGCACGCATCGCACATCGAAGTGATGAGAGAAGGGGACGCCGAGTGGGATCTCCTCATTGGGTACTAGAGCAAGCCTAGGAAAGTAGGCATACACCCACAACTGCAAAATAGATATCAGTATGACTATCAGATAAGGCAGAATGCAGAATAAAGCAGAAATAGCAGAACCGTGTGTTGTGCAGTGTATTGTGCAGAGTGTACAGTGTGTGCAGTGTACAGTCAGTGTAAAGCAGAGTATATGTGTACCGGGTGTGCAGTGTACAGTCAGTGCGGGGCAGTGTACAGTATATGTGCAGTGTACAGAATACAGAAAGCAGAAGGCAGGAATGTAAAAAAAGGGAAGAAGACGTACCTCCCAGGCTCGCCAGTAGCCACCAAGGAGCTGTCCGCTGAGGCGGGAAAAAGAGCTCATATAACCGTACAAAGTGGCCAGAGCGGCGCCACCCCAGTTATAATGGCAGATCTGCCTGGCGTCCACTAGCGCGCTCAACAGGCATAAGGGCACGGTGTTCGCCCGATCGGCGAAGAGAGTCGTCCCGAAGAGGAACATGATGTAGCCCCGCGCGTACTGGTCCACCTCCTCCGGGGACATCTGCGCCTCCTCTGCCAAGGCCGGCTGGACCCGAAAGTGGCTCTCGAACCAAGAATACCTGACGAACCCCGCTCGAACGAGGGGAGGCTAAGTGCCAAGCAGGTACAGCTGGGCAGCGTCCCACTCCTCCATATCCGTGTCGAAGGGGATCGGATCACCCCCTACCCCAATGCCAGTAAGCATCGAGAAGTCGTAAGGGGTCATCGTCATGTCCCCTGCGACGGAGAAGTGGAAGGAGTCGGTGGTATCCCACCACCTCTCCGCCAAAGCAGCGAGCAAGGGCCTGTAGGTAGTCAGCCGGGAGAGCCCCCTGCAGAAGATGCCGAAACCGGCCTCGTCGACGATATGGCGAACCGCGTATGGCAGCTCTATGTACCAATCCCGAGCAAAGACATTCCCATACCCGCGGGTGGTATGGGAATCCCCCTGTAATCAAAAACAACAATTGCAAGGCAATATTCAAAATGTAGTTCTAAGAAGCATATAGGTATACAGCATGTGTGCATATTTTCGGATTCAAACAGATACCGGGTACCGGTGTGCTCACCAGTGAACTACAGCGTGTGATGTGTCAGCGTGTTTGAGTGGCTCAGGGCAGATGTAGCATGCGTGCAAGTTTTAACAGATTCAAACAAATACCGGGTGCCGGTGCACTTAGAGTGAACTACAACGTGTGATGTGTCAACGTGTTTGGGTGGTTCAGGGTAGATGTAGCATGCCTGCAAGTTTTAACAGATTTAAACAAATACCGGGTGCCGGTGTGCTTACAGTGAACTACAATGTGTGATGCGCCAGTGTGTTCGAGTGGTCCAGGACAAATACGGTATACGTGCATGTTTTCAGACTCAAGCCAATAACGGGTACCAGTGTGTATGCAGTGAAATACAGTGTGCGCCGTGTATTTGGGTGATTCAAAGCCAATGCAGTGTGTGTGCATGTGTTAGTCTCAAATAGATATCAGTTGCACGTATGTTTACAATCAACTACAGTATACAGTATATCAGAGTTAAGCAGTTAAAGAGCATAACCAGCTACGGCAGTTTTGCATCCTACATTGCAGAAAGTAAAGCAGAGAAAGAAAGTTACCTCGGAAGCGCCGAAGGACAGGTGGGAGGTAGGCTCACGCAGTAGTAGTTCGGGAGGCACGTGCCTATCAAAGCTCCTGAACTGGCGTAGTCCGTCGGGGAGCATCTCATGAACTGCAGGCCTGTAGGTCTCCAGATCGAACGGCCGGATACGGAGTGGCAAGGGCTCGGCCTCAGGGTCCATCTCGTGCTCTGGAGGGATCCCGCCCTGTGGAAGGTAGTTCGCCATCTCGAAGAGAATGTGAAAATGGCCGGAAGACGAAAAATCGGGCAAGAAGGCGAAAAGTCAACAAAAAGTCAAACCCCGAGAGGGTCGGAAAAGGCCGGAAAAGTCGGAGTAAGGAAAAGGCACGGGTATCGAGAAAAACGCGAGGAAAACAAGTCCCGAGTGGCGAAAATCAAGAAAGAAACACCGAAATGAAGTTTCGTTGGGTTGAAAATGTCCGAAACGCGAAGGGGATCGCGAATCGAACAATGAAATGGGAGCTAGAACGCAAGAAAAGGAGAGAATCAAGGGAGGAAAATGCCCTAGAGGGGAGGGGAAAAGATTTTCGACCAAGGAGAAGTGAAGAAAATATGGTTAGAAACTCTATTTTAAAAGACCCGTGGCCAATTGACAAAATGCCCCGATACAGGAATTCTTTGCCGGTCGGCCACACTCTTTGCCGATCGGCAAAATATTGTGCCGATGGAATTATATGATGGCCGGTGGACGGCCGGTGATGCATTTTGATGGCCGGTGGACATCCAGTGGTCTCCTACAGTGATTTTAGAGCCTCCTACACCCTTGTTTGAGTTATGTGTGAGGTCCAGGGCCTTTAGTGCTAAAAACAGTGCAAAACAGTGCATTTTCGATGCTCAACCGGCCTCCGCTTTGACCTCGAGTCGTGTTTTCTGTGCATGGCACTCGAATTCGTGCAAGGTGTATCCTTTTCGTATCCTTTTGGCTTTTACAAAACTCAAAAGTTGCCCCATGCGTATCGCATATCAATCGCACTGTCTTGTGCGCTCGCGTTGTCTAAAACGCATCGCGCGGTTTTGCGCATCTCATTGCATTTTGCATGCATTCAATCAATTTCATTACCTGCATAGACCGCATGCTTGTTCAATTTCATTACTTGCGTAGACCGCATGATTGTTCAAATTTCATTACCTGCGTAGACCGCATGTTTTGCTTGCGTAGACCGGATGATTGTTCAAATTTCATTACTTGCGTAGACCCCATGTTTTGCTTGCGTAGACCGTATGTTTGTTCAATTTCATTACTTGCGTAGACCGCATGTTTTGCTTGCGTAGACCGCACGTTTGTTCAATTTCATTACTTGTGTAGACCGCATGTTTTGCTTGCGTAGACCGCATGTTTGTTCAAATTCATTACTTGCGTAGACCGCATATTTTACTTGCGTAGACCGCATGTCCTGCTTGCGTAGACCACATGCTTATGTTTAATTTCATTGCTTGCGTAGACCACATGCTTATAATCAGTTTCGTTGCCTGCGTAGATCGCGTGCTCCACTTACATGTCTGTGCTTTCACAGCATTGTTATGCTTCCCACTTGCTTTGCGTTGTCACGCATTTTCAAATACATTAATATGCATTGTACCTGTTAAGTTTGTTTTCTTTTCAGGCACGATATTGTATGTACGGTTCATTTGAGACTGGTCCAACCAGACGAACCGGACAGGTATTGTATCCTTCGAGTGAGACATATCGAGAATCTACACGGTCTAGGAGACCTTAAATCCTCGGAAGGTGCAAGACCTTTGGTGCATTGATGCGCACAGTTCGTTTGCATTGTCATGCATCTCGATAGCCACGTGTTGTCGCGCATTCCATGTATCATGCATCATCATGCATTTGCATCTCAAAAACAAAAACAAAAAAAAAACACATGCATTGTCATGCATCATTGTAAATAGTTGCATTGTCATGCATCATTAGCATATAATGTCCACTGCATTGTAGATCGCATGCATTCATTGCATCACTTTCCATCTATGGCTTGCGCCTTTCCATGTTGAGCTTGGTTTGGTACGTGCCCATACTTCTCGTGTCAAAGCATAGTTCAGTAGACCGTTCTATGTTAGCCGCGGCTTGTTTGTGTACATGCCTTTCCTAGGCAAGATTTGGTTTGGCCCGCGTGCCATATCCACTGCATTGTAGCTTGCATGCATTCATTACATCACTTTCCATCTATGGCTTGCGCCTTTCCATATTGAGCTTGGTCTGGTATGTGCCCATACTTCTCGCATCAAAGCATAGTTCAGTGGACCGTTCTATGTTAGACGCGGCTTGTATGCGTACATGCGTTTCCTAGGCAAGATTTGGTTTGGCCCGCGTGCCATATCTATTGCATTATAGTTTGCATGCATTCATTGCATCACCTTCTATTTATGGCTTGCGCCTTTCCATGTTGAGCATGGTCTGGTATGTGCCCACACTTCTCGTGTCGAAGCATAGTTCAGTGGACCGTTCTATGTTAGGCGTGGCTTGTATGCGCACATGCCTTGCTTAGGCAAGATTTGGTTTGGCCCACGTGCCATATCCATTGCCATTCCCCCCAGCATTTTCATTATATATTACATTGTAGTGTAATTGTCGCATCCAACATTAGGATCGTAGTCCTTTCTCCAGCGGGTCGTTTCCCCAGCTTTGTCATCCCCCCCCCCAATACTTGTTCTTGTGTCCGTCTACATTACTCATAGTTCAGTGGACCGTTCTATGGTAGACGGACTTGTTACCTCCATCAATCTATTTGACATAGGTGTGTTTTCGAACTGCCCATGATTAGATCATGTTTCAATTGCTTTGCGCATAGTTTGCATTGTTTCAATTCCATTGCATCTCCATTTGCATTATACATTGTTTTGTATATATATTGCATATCATTTTGCATCCATTTTTGCATGGTCATGCATGTTGCTAACAATATTGTACCTGTTAAGCTTGCTTTCTTTTCAGGCACGATATTGTATGTACGGTTCATTTGAGGTTGGTGCAACCAGACGAGCCGCACAGGTATTGTACCCTCCGAGTGAGACGTATTGAGAATTACATAATTCCCTTACATCCTTTCTGTATTTTAGTGTAGTTTGGTGTATGCTAGCTTAAAACTGTCGCATGTTATGCTTCGTTACAGCTTTCTTTGCATGATCATAAGTTATGCTCGACTTCCAATGGTGAGGTAAGGTTGAGTTGGTTTGTCATTGGTGATATTTTGAGTCTAAACCTTTTTATCAAAGGTTGTAAATTTGTGATAATTAGCACATCAATTAAACAAAAATATTCAGAAGAAATTATGGGTATTTTGTCTTGAAGGTAAAACTCAAATTTCTATTGTAGGTTATGAAATGGATAGAGTTTGCAGAGAATTTTTCAGTAGATTCTGAGGCTTGTTTATCTCTCAACGAGTTAAATGGATGCTTGGCTTCAAAGTCTGTTCTTGTGGGGGAGGGGCTGACACCCTCTGAAGCTGATATTATTGTCTTCTCAGCACTTTATTCCTATGTGGTATGCATTCCATCCCTCAGTAGAATTATTATCACTTGCATCAAACTTATGTATCGTTGCATGTTTGCTTCTCATGGCTTATTGGAAATCTTTGGGATACAACAGTTAGGGGACCGGTGAATGTTATATTGTCATTCAGCTCTACATTTCTTCTACTTTGCTCAAAATCAAATTTTGTACAAAGATATGTGCCTTTTCTTTCTTTTATACTTCTAAGTTGAAAAAAAGGGATGCCTTAGTGAATGAACAATGAAACCTTTTAAAGGCTGAGGGACATAAATAGGAAAAAGACATTGTCTGTGTTTGGTTAGACTTTCAAAGTGTGATTCCACCCTTTGGTTTTAGTATGGTGTTTGTTTACTGTTTTCAAAAATTGATTCCATACTCACTTTTCAAAACACGTCTACCCAGTCATCCTCCTGGACGTCCCCAGACGTTCGGGCGGTTGACCGGAACAGTGTTCGGGTTTTTTTTTTTTTTGGACCTGTTATTTTTATATTTTAAATAAAAAATATTTTGGAAATTTTTAAATTTTTTTTATGAGCTTTGAATAGAATTTTGGGTTGTGCGTTTGGTTATGAGTTGTAAATTTTTGAATCAAATATCATATCACTCAATTCAAGCTCAATTCAAAACTCTTTTCAAAACTCACAACCAAACAAATTTTCCACACTCAAATCATAATTTCAAAACTCACAAACTCAAAATACAACTCTATTCTCAAATCATAATTCTAATACTCTGCCAAACGCAACCATTTATTTTTGTTTAGATGCCTTCATAATAAATTTTACATTATAACAAATTTTGGGTGCCCTGTTGTTGCCAGAAAGGTATCTCTCTCTCTTGTGTGTGTATAAGTGTGTGTTTAGTCCATACTATTGCACACAAACACCTACCATTACACCTTCCCTTGCCTATTGAGGTTCTAAGGGATTATTTTCAGAGTTTTGGAGCTGGTTTGGAGCTTAAGAACCAGCTGGTCCACCATTTTTGAAGAAAGTCTACAAGGGTAATAATCTTGCCCTTTTATTCCCCATTCTTGCATACTATTTTTGCCTATCTTAGAACTATTTTTGAGCATGGTGTATAATATAAAAAAGTTCTGGTTTTGGGCCCTCTAAATAGTTTGTTTGGAGTGTTTTGTGGTTTGGAGGTGTTTGACCCCTCTTAGGCCTTGAGAGGCCCCATTTTGTGCTATTTTGAGTGAGCTCCGGGACCTTGGTGTTTGGGCCTCCTCACCACTGAAATCTTGAGGGATTTTAGAGGTGAGGATGGTGCCTTGAGGTCCTAGGGAGGAGAGGGTCACCCCCTCTCCTTGTTGTCCTTAAAATGGACCATTTTTGGCCTCTTGAGGGAGCACCTAGCTAAGCTTCTTGTTGACCATGCCTTGGCTGTTTTTTGGGCTTATTATGTCATAATATGCTTCTGTTTTAATTGGTTTTGGTACACCATGCATGTTTAGCATACCTACCTTGTAATGCCATGTTTAGGCCTTAACATGCCTTAGGTTGTAAACCATTGTTCAAGCATGTTTTAGGTCTAGTTTTGGGAAGCTTTTGTGCTTATTTTGCTATGCTAAAGGTTTGTCCTTAGTTGTTTGGGTCGACTTTGGCATGTTTAGTATAGCCCCTTTGTATTTTGGCTTGTTGGCCTTAAGTGTGTGAGTGTGTAGCATGCATTACTTGCCTTATTTTAATGGTTTGGCACCGTTTATAGCATCATTTCAGTCCCCTTTGCACGCTTGTATGCTTGCCTTCGATGCCCCTTTGATGCCTTATGAGCTTGTGTTATATGCTCCATGTTTTGGCCATTGTTCATGCTTTTGAATTTGAGCCACTTAGATGCCATCTAGGGGTCCCCTTTGCATGGTCTAGGTCTGCCTTGGACCTGTTTTAAGCCCTCTTGGCCTTGTGAGGCTTGGTTGGCTTAACCATGGTTTAAGCCCCCCTTGACTTGCTTCAAGTACTTGGGCCATTTGTTGCATGTTTAGCCTATCTTGTTGGCTCGGTTTGGCCCCATGTTCTTGCATGATTTTCAGAGTTTAATGCATGCCCCATGCCCATGATTATGCCTCTTCCAAGCGTGCTTGAGAGTTGCCCTTTTGTGCTTGAGTGTTAGCCCTTTAACATGTGCATGTGTGTATGTGTGTTTAATCCTCATTTCATAGCACTTATGGCCACTGTTTTGGGCCTAATTAGAGCTGCCCAAATCATGCTTAAGTCCATCCTTTGCTTGCTTGCATGCTTACCTTGCATGTTTGTTTCCATGCTTGCATGTACATCTTGCATTCCCATGTTGCATCCTTAGCTTGCATGCCTACGTTGCATTGCATCTAACATGCATGTCTTGTTCCTTGATCTAGTGATAGAAATTGGGCCTCTTTGGTTTGTCGGTTTGCATTTCATTTGACATCAAAATGTGCACACTTGGTCCCTTGGGCCATCACGCATGGAAATGCGCGATTGATGGTCCGAGAACCAAAGAGCATGTCCCTTTGAGTCACTAACATGATAAGGGACATGATTGGTGCATACATTGCTTGAATTGCATTGCCATGCTCTACCTTGCCCTCTGTTACTGTCAATTCCAGGTTCTGCAGGAACTTTCTACCGACCGGCAGTGTCCAGTGTCGACTGGCAATCCTTCCTGGGCCGATAGCTTCACCAACAGCCGGTATCACACAACACTGCCGGTGGCCATCCTATTCAGCCGGTGGTGTCTCCCAATGTCCAGGGAAGCAATTCTGAGACTTTGGCAGTCTTCAAAGAGGCAGAGCAGGGAAAACAGAGGCAGCCTAGGCATGGCAGTGCACTTCCGAGCAGGACCAAGCACGCATTGCATTAGGCTCTCTTCCCAAGGTAGTTTATCTATTTTCCCTAGATTAGTTAATTTGCTTAGCTAATTAGATGGCCTGTAATATTTAATTAGCTTGTAGGTTAATTATCTGTAATATTTATTTGGTCCCTCCGAGCGAGGGAAAATTTGTAATAAGTGTGGGTGAGTGTGTGCATATCTTCCAACCCCCACTTCTTTCTCCCTTTTACTTACTTGCTTTTATGGTTAGCAATAGGTCGTGTTTAAATTAGCATACCTTATGCTATGCATGTGTGCATCCACGCATTTGTCTCGCACGCACCAGGCTCGGTTCATCATGCTAACTGCATTTGTACTTCAATCCCAAATTGAATACGTGCATCAATTGATCGCATTTCGCATGCCATGTTTAGGTTAGCCGAGCTTACTCTAATTGTATCCTGTATGTGTTGCATTAGTCAATTTGACATGAACTAGGATCATGCATGTGATTAGTAACTAGTTTATTGTTTTGGCACGGAGTACTATGTAAGTATTTTCCTGCTTTGGCATATCGCATGCGTGTGAATGCTGTCATGACAGCATGCTTACCATGTGGCTAGATGTTTATGTGATAAACTGTTTGGATGCCTGTGGATGAAGGTTGGATTGTCTGAGTTGGAAAAACTCGTTGAAATCCGTATTTTAGCCTACTTGCGAGTAGCAAATTCTAAAATGTTTTCCAAGATAAACGGATATGCAATGCTTATTTCCAAATTAGGCAATCTAGTCTATACTTGTGTGCTGTGCGCATAACATAGTAATTCTAGGCTAATAAATGGAATAAGAACACATAACGTTTTCAAAACAGGATATCATGGTTAGTAGAGGCCGGTCTTCGGACAGGGTGAGAGGGGGTACTCATAGCTGACCTTCCCCGATCGTACCCAAGTTCTCAAGCCAAGGCAACTCTGGCGATGACGGACACGTGGCCTTTGGCACCGAGTCAGGGTTTCCCAAATTCCCCCATTTTAAAATATTTAGGTGGCAACTCAGTATCTTGCAAAGCAGTCCGTGTTTGACACTTCTTTTCAAAAAATCTGTTTCTCAAAACGATTTGTCCGATTTGGACTCTTTGGTTCAGATTAAGAACCGTGACACAAATCGAGTCCGAACTGTAGCGAGGGCCCCCCACGCGGGCCCGTCTACACTCTCATGAAGAAAGTTTTTCTCTCTAACACTCACCGTACTTCTACATTCCTCTCTCTTTTGCTCTAGGAACTAACTAGCTTAGGCAACTGACAGTTTCATTAGCTTAAGTGAACAAGTTTAACTCAAACTAATCACCCTTGGCCTCCAAGAAAGAGAATTTACTGAGAAATTGTAGCATAACGTTATTAGTTTAACTTAGGCACCCTGTTTGAGGTTCTGTAAATCACCTAATTGTAAGTTAACAATATTACTTCAACTTAAGTAGCCCATGTAATGTTTTGTACATCACCTAACTGTTCAATTCTCAACTGCAAAATGATGAATTTGAATTCCCCAAATTTTCATCCCATTTCCCTTTTCTTTGCCCTAACTTTCCCTCCAAGCTCTCAGGAAGAAGGATTCTCTCTAACTCTCCCCGTCCTACTCCATCCTTCTCTGTTTTGTTCTAGGAACTAATTAGTTTAGGAAACTAATTGTATCATTTGCTTAAGTAACCAAGTTTAACCCAAACTAATCTTGATTGGCCTCCAAAAAAAATAATAATTTATTGAGTAATTGGGGCTTAACGATGTTAGTTTAACAAAAGCAACTCATTTAATGTTATCTAAATCACCTAAGTGTTCATTTCTCAAGTCCAAAAGGTTGAATTTCAAATCCCTTTAATTTTCATCTCGTTTCCTTTCCTTTTCTCTAACTTTCTCTTCTAGCTCCCATGGAGAAAGTTTCTCTCTAACTCTCTCCGTCCATCTCCAACCACCTCTCTTTCGTTCTAGGAACCAATTAGTTTTGCCAACTAATCGTTTTGCTGGCTTAAGTGGCCACGTTTAACTCAAACTAATCTAGCTTAGCCTCCAAGAAAGAGATTTTACTGAGTAATTGTGGCTTAATGATATTAGTGCAACATAAGCACCTCATTTATGGTTTTCTAAATCGCCCTAGTCTTTTTTTTTGGGTAAGTCATATCACCCTAGTGTTCAACTCTCAAGTAGAAAAGGAAGATTTAGATTTCCCGTTAATTTTCATCCTATTTACCATTCTTTTGTCAAACTTTATCCTCCAGCCCTCATGAAGAAAGTTTTCCTCTCTAACACTCACCGCACTTCTACATCCCTCTCTCTTTTGCCCTAGGAACTAACTAGCTCAGGCAACTAACTGTTTCATTAGCTTAAGTGAACAAGTTTAACTCAAACTAATCATGCTTGGCCTCCAAGAAAGAGAATTTCTTGGGAAATTGTAGCATAACGTTATTAGTTTAACTTAGGCACCTTGTTTGAGGTTCTGTAAATCACCTAATTGTAACTTAAAAATATTACTTTAACTTAAGCAGCCCATGTAATGTTTTCTACATCACCTAACTATTCAATTCTCAACTCCAAAATGATGAATTTGAATTCCCCTCAATTTTCATCCTATTTTCCTTTTCTTTGCTCTAACTTTCCCTCTTAGCTCTCAGGAAGAAGGATTCTCTCTAACTCTCCCCGTCCTTCTCCATCGTTCTTTGTTTTGCTCTAGGAACTAATTAGTTAAGTCAACTAATTGTTTCATTT